CCCATTTTTTAAAATGTTGCTTGGTGTACATTCCCCATACCTCGCTGTTGTAACTTAAGATTGAGAATATCATTGTGTCCAAAATTTGGGTCTCGGCATTAGGGTTAAGTTTATTAAGAATTGCCTGCTTCCGAATACTAGAAAACGCGTGAAGGACCTTCCCTTTTAAGTGTTCTAGTGCAAGTGTAAAGTTTCCTGTTGGAGTTAAAGGCCCGTTTACACGACCGAAAAAAATGGAACGGCTCGGATAAAAAGACGAACGGCTCCGACAAAATTTGACGTGTAAACAGTACTTGACCCATTCCAGTTTTATCCGTTCCGTTCCTTAAAAGGTCCATAGGTGGCTATGGACCCCTTTCGGAACGGAACTGATAAAAAACGGTTCCGTACCCACATTTTTGTTTTCTTTTCAACGTGTAAACGCTCGCTCTTTTTTCGGTACCGTTCTGTTACATTTTTTCTGAGCCCGTGGTGCTCCAGGTCAGTTGTTTAGAGTACGTCACATGCGTGTTAGAAGAAGAAGCTGGAAAGTGTTCTTAGATACTCGAAAGCTAGCATACCATTGATTGTAAGAGTAAGTGCTGTATGCAAGATCAAACCAAGCGCTTGTTCTTGGAATTTGCCGCAAGCTCCTTTTGAGTGTGAAGTGCGATACAAGGGCTGTTAATAGGAGAACCTTAAGCCTTGTTTTTCAGTCCTATAAATTCGGTACATTCTCTCATGGGGTGTTTACATGAGAAAACTCTCACCGGCACGAGTTTCATACCAGGATAACTTTTTGATTTCGTATCGCGTTTAAATGATGACTGGGTCATTTCAAATCTCATTATTTGAAGGTACACTTCATATTGATAAAATGCACATGTGATTCCAAATCGCAAACATTACGCATGCAATACCCTTTACAGTCTACCGGCAGACCGATTTCACACTCAAACGGGTGGTCGTTTCACGTTTACATGATACCATTGCGAGATTTCGTACCGGAGTGAAATTCTTGCCCCAGTACAAGAACCGGGGTGAACTCACGCCGGGGTGACTCGTGCCGGCATGACATTTTGTGGTGGTATCATGTAAACAAATATACAGCAATGAGAGGGAACCGGAGTGAACTCGCTCCAGGGTAAAAGTCGCCCCGGTGTCATGTAAACATCTTATCAGAAGCACCTCTTTGAAGAATCGCATGCGCAGTCAAACGTGAATTTCGTGTTCTCTTCTTTAGAAGAAACCAGAAAAGTGCTTGTAAACCTGCATCAATGATTGTCGGAGATACGCACAGTCTACTGTTTGTGTAAGTGCATATGAACAACTAATCGAAGCAGTTTTATTTAATTATCACGGGCTCTATCATTACCGGTCTCGAAGAAAACAACGTGTAAACAATCTAGTACCCGTTACAAGGGGCTGTCAAGTACCGTGCCTTTTTCTGTCGAGCACATTACAGAATTTGTACGTGTAAACAGGAGATTTCGTCTGGAACCGGTACTTGTTTCTAACCGAGCCGTTCCTTCTCCTTTAACGTGTAAATGGGCCTTAAATGTGTACCTAAATAAGTGTATTCTTGGATAATTTTATTTGACTCACTGCCTATGTTGAATTTGATGTCAGTGGATTTCTTTGGGCATTTCTGGAATATTAAAATTTTTGTTTTCTGCGGATTAATTTTTAGCTTCCATTTGTCACAATACAAGGAAAGCGTATTTAAACAGTTTTGTAATCAGGTTTTCGATCGTAAAAGATCTTGAAAGATCAGGCAATATGAAACCACATGAGCTTGGACCACCTCTGGATTCCTTAGACAAACGGAGCTCGTAAAAAATAAATCAAATGGCCGTGGAATGGCCAAGTTTTAAATGAAATTTTTTAACCTTATTTTGTCAAGTACGACGTTTGCTTTTATGACCATAAGATAAATTTTGATTGTACTAAGTAATTTGAAATCAATTTTTAACTGTTTCTGTGTTATTTTTTGTAATAATTAGAAAAGTTCAGAAACAGTTGTAAAAAAAACAATATTAAAAATGTGCTTTTGTCCCATGGACAAGTTATGTCAAAGGTTTACATGTCCAAACTATTTTTGTACCTGTCGCGGACAATCAGACATAGGTTTTGGCACACCCTGCCTTTAAGGTGACTCTGCTGTTATTGCAGGCACAGTGATCTACAAGATACAGTTAAAACGCAATGGCCTATGAATTCTGAGAAAACTTGCAACTCAACTGCAGTCAAAGTTACGTACAGTACAGGCCACGGGCATTGCAGCATTACACGCGTGTTTCATGCGTGGAAATCCGAAATATCGACGCAAATTCCATGAGAAAAAGAGACGTGAAACACTTGTGTAAAAATATACATGCAAAGATACATGTTTTATGTGCCTATTTAACATAAACAAGTCTGAAAAAAAAGAAAAAACAGTGAACTGAAGTCCGAGCGCCTGCTATGCAAGCTAAAACATTGAACTTATTTCAAAACAACAGTCATGGCAAGTACAGTAACATGCATCCAAGTTTACATGTAAAATAGTGCTTCCGCCATCAGCCAAGGAAATTGTTGATTACAAAACATGACGTTCACGATCACGTTCACGATCGTAGCATGATCATAGAAAGAGAAAGAGTATAGTAAGTTGTTTTCTCTTTCACCGCAAAAAGACGTTTTTCCACAATGTTGGTTTCAAATTTTACATCAGCTACATTTGCTGTTGTAAAGAAATACACGCAACTTGCGTTTATTGTCATAAGCAAAATCAGTCACCTTTGCGTGTAAAAAGTCTGTGTGTAAAAGCTTGTGTAAAAATTTACACGCAAGTTTTTTGGATGAATTTTTCATGGAAATCTGCCATATTGCAGGCAATTTATGCACGTGTAAGTGCTGCAATACCCGTGGCCTGTACTGTAGTAACGAAACATGATCAAAATAAATATTTGATATGTGCTATTGTCTGGACACACATGTACATTTTATCGACTTACATTTTCTGTGCTGCACAAATCTTTAGGTGTTTATATATAGTGGCACCTGTAGTCTTTAGAGACTAACGACTGTCATTTATACATAATATTTGAAGATTTGCTCAGTAATTACCAAAATTACAAGTAAACATAATGTATGTCCATTAACTTTTCTGGTTATTGCCTTACATTATTTTTTACTGTGCACATCATTATTGCACATGATTGAACATTGTGTCCTTTTTTGCAGGCCTTCTGAAGCATCCTTTGTTTCTCGATTTCGAGATACCTATATAACAATCCTGAATGCCACAGATTTGTTTGATGTCTTAATACTGCAACAAAAATGTATAATCTACATTTATTTCCTGCAGAGTTGACCCTGATTATGCAGTTAAAAGCAGAGGAGGAAACAGATCATGTCTTACTAAATATGACTTTCAGAGTGAGTAACATCATTGAATAAACTTTGGTCCCATGGGTGTCTTAAATAAAATTCCAGGAAAATTACAAATGGTGAAAATCATTGGTAAACCAGTAGAACTTGACCCAGTGGTATCTTCTATTTCCTTGCAGTGACTTTAATGTTTTTTTTTTGTAATCCAAAATTTGTAGATAAAGGGAGGTTTAGATTCAATGACCTTAGTGGTAAAGTGTACCTCTCACTTGTAACTCCCAATACATGATTTAAAAGTACCGTATTCTATTTCTTGCTTTTTAGAGTTGAATAATCAGTATTAAGAATGACTGCAGCTATTTTCAAAGGGTTTCGCAGAATACCATCAGAGCATGTTCCCCCTTTATACTTTTTTCCCTCTCATTCAAATTCATTGCAATTCTTGTGATGCTTATATACAATACTCAATCTTGTGTTGCTCCATTGCAGGACAAATTTCCATTTGTCTTTGATCCTCCTTTTGTCAGAGTTGTTTATCCAGTTTTAACAGCTGAGTAAGTATAATCTTGAAAGTTTAAAGAAAAGTTGGAAAAAAATGCTGAATGCCATGTGCTGAATCTTATATACATATGTATTATGTTCATCAGGTAAGTTTATGTGCCAAATCAACTACATACATGTACAATGTACCATTCTAATGGTAGTATACATATTGCGCATGCCAATTTAAAAACTGGCATTCTTTATTGTACCCTGGACAATACAGTTGCTAACTACTGGTAAAATTAGATAATTTTTAACACCACCTAAAAACACACATTTACAGTGTATTTGTCTTGCCTTTATGCAAGTTTGTACCATTCAGTACATGATAACACAAGATTTTTACTGTTATTTCCTCTTTAGTTATGTGTATGTTCTTAGTGGAGGCCAGCACTTTGCATGGAACTTCTTACACCTCAGGTATGCAGGTTACATTAACTTGGGTTTTACTCTTCTTTGTGACACCCTTGTGGCTATTAAGACAATGATTAATCTTAACGTCATTAAAATGAGAATTTAGCAACAAAATTGTGGACGAGCTTTTGTTGTAATTATGAGGTATATTTCAGAGGCAATACAGTCTGGACCCTATAATCCTTCATCCCTTCATTCAAATTAAAACGTTGGGGTGTTTGTCAACGGTTTTCTGAAACAGGTACATGTACCTTCAACAGTGGCACAACATTGCTTAATACATATTTTTTCATTATCAATTAGTGAATTGAATGAGGCCTAGTATCAAATGAAGAATTATGCAGATTGAGGAGAGTGTTGGCCAAGCCAAATATAAACACCCTCTGAGATTTCCATAATATTATTCTTCAGATCATGCGAAAGCTAAATCCAATTATTGTTATAATTTATTATTCATTCAAAGTAATTGCTAGTTTTAAAACAAGCTAAACGTGCCTACCTTCTTGTTCATTGTTCAATTTCATTTCATCATCTTCAATTGCCTGTTTCTCGGCAAGTCCAATTCCGGAGATGTTTAGTTCAATAGATATAAAAGGGATGTTAAGTTCTGCAGATACCTTTCAAAGGTAGTCATACTTATTTATAACCCTTACCACTTTTGTTGAGGTTTTGTGTGAACTTTTACCATGTAGGGGTGGAGCAGTGCCTATACAGTAGAAGCTGTTATCATGCAAATAGCTGCTACACTTGTGAAAGGAAAAGCAAGGATTAACTTCCAGGATAATAAAAAGGTAATCTGCCCAGTAGTCAACTGCTTACACTGTCAGTAAGCTGTTTGTGAATGGACATTTTTATACTTTGCTTACTTTAAAGGAGTAGGAGTCATGTTAATTGCTCTTAATTGTTATCTTCTTACTGGGCTTGAAATTGCAACTGATATGATCGCCAATGCGACTAACATTTTCTCCTTGGCGACTAAAAATTCTGGTTTAGTTGCCAAGGTGGCAACCAGGTTTCTCTATGATTCAGATTTAAAAAATAAAAGAGTAAAGTTAAAACAAACATTCCACCTTATCTTTCTTTGCTTTCTTCATGAAAAATGTGCCAAATCGCATAAACAAAGCCTGTTTAGCTCCAAATTTATACTGACTATATACCGACTTCCATCCATGATATTTTCAAATCTGATGGATGGTGCCATACTGTGTAGGGCTTCTGATAGGTCGCGGAAAAAAAGTCAAATTTCGGCCGACTTTTAGGGGCAAATTTGTGGGACTTTTTCTGGGCAAATGTCCCCAAAAATCGAGCCTTAAACCATGGCTAGTGCCCAGTTTTTCGCAACATAATTTACACGTGGTAGTTTCAGGACTATTGTTGGCACATTTCACTTGTGACAAATTTTCAAGATAAATTTGCAAGTTTATGGTAACTAAATAGCCCCAATAGCTGAATAAGTTTCAAATATGTTGTACAGACATGTATTCGATGATTTCTACCGAATTTGTGTTTTTGTGAATTTCGCGGCTCCGCGACCGCCCGAAATATCAGAAGCCTTGGCTATGGGCTGCGTCATTTACAGGTACGTTACACAAAGTGGTGACTGAAAGATTGCAACTGGTGACTATATTTCTCCAGTTCGTTGCCGAAAGGCGACGTGAGGATGTTTTTAATTTCAAATTCTGTCTTAGCTATGAGGTGTATTTCTAATTTTACTAAACCATGCCAATTGTATTTTTGTTCTTAAGTTTCAACAAATCAACTCATAATTATTATCTCATGAAAATATATAGATAATTTCTGAAGACATGAATCCAGATAGCTAAACTCCTGAGGCCCCAGTTGTTCAAATGCTGGATAGCACTATCCACTGAATAAATCTCTATCCAGCAGATAAGTGTTAGGCAAACCGACTGTGCCATCCACTAGATAGAGATTTATCCAGTGGGTAATGTTATTCGCCTTTCAAACCACAGGGAGCAGGCCCTGGTTGTTCAAACGTTGGATAGCGCTATTCACCAGATAAATTGCTATCCATCGGACAAGTATCAGGGAAACCAATTGCGCTATCCAATACATTTAATTTGTCCATCTGTGTCTCCTTTTGCATTTGCTGTGTTAATTAATTTATACCTTCTTTTAGTGTTTTGAGCATTGTGTAGTTCCAGAAAGTATCCATACTTTCCCTACAGAAGAGACTGAAAATTCCTGGGGGGTGGGGGGCTCTCAAAGGCTCAAAAATTTAAGTAAATGTATGAAGCTTGACTGGAATTTTCAGGGGGGGGGTCTAAGGAAAAATCCCTTCTGTAGGGGAGGTATGGACAATTTTTGGAACCACACATTGCTTTTTATGTTTCACTAAATTTGGTGGGAGTTCCTGCTGTTTGAATTTTGATAAATTTTGTTACACAGCCTCTATAAGTTAATAATATTTTCCCCTTTTTGCTTTAAAGACAAGCCGTCCCAATGTTTGGTGCTAAAGTAGGGAATGAGATACCAGGTAGAATGAGAGATATGTCTAAAAAAGTGTTCAAACGAAAATTAATCAGTGTGCTCTTCGAACTATTAAAAGACAAAGATGATTACCTTGATGCAACCATGATGATAACACGAGAAATAAAATCGCGAAATCCTAAACCTTAGCCTCTTTCACAGGTTGCATTAAACAGATTTGTCTTTCTTGCTTTTCAATTCATTACACATATTTCTTCTTTTCTTTTTCTTTGCTTTTTACCTATTATATGTGATATCTAATTTGTAATAAGAAATAATTTGGCACGCCTCGTCTAGCGTTTTCTTGTTAACTGCGTGCCAAAAAATTGTACTTGTAGTATTATGATAATAAAATTTATTGTCTGGTGTCTACAGCCTTTTAAGAGCCCAACAATCTTTTATGTCCTTAGTACAGATCCACGAAAAAAAAAATAATAAGAGTGATCTTCAATTTGTACGTATACAATCATACGAAATAAAACTTTTTGTTTGTTCCTGAGAATACTCAGGTTAGTCCCCTACTTTCCTGTAAGATCTTCAAGATCAAGTGCTTACTGTATCGTGTGGCCATCTTGGTTTCAACTGTTAGTGTAACTCGGAGAAGGGTGTCAAATTTACTAAGGGGGTAGGAGTTGGGTGGGAAGGAGGCAAGATCCCTATTTTTCTTGCCTCTCTTCCCGCATTCCATTAAATCCTGACTCATCTGCCGGAGTGTGTTACTACGTGTAACCTTTGTAGCAAGCATGTCAATGCATGTTTGTTGAGAAGGTTAGAACAAGAGGGACTAAAAGAAAATAAATGCTTTTCTGCAAGCCCCACAATTCTGAAAGAAAAAAACAAACAAACAAACACACAAGTAAACAAATTAATAAACACCCATTAGTGTTTCACAGTTCAGTTCATTTGTAAACTGACAGCTTGTCAACATAGTAGCCAGCAACAGATCACCAGTTGTTATAAATTTATTTGGCTTTTTTGTTTTATTCTCATTTTTAGGATGGTATACTCCACCTAAACATGAAGGCTGAATTAAACTATTATTGTTAATATTAGATTTGTAATTTCTAGTGCATGGGCTGCTGTTTACATGGGATATTTTCTAAAAAAAGTTCGCTTGTGGTGTACATAGTTCACCATTGACCCTTAAAGCTCTTGCAACAACACTCATTACCGTCAAACCTTTTCTTTGTGTACTTCTTATAATATGGTACAGTGAAACCTGTACATAAGACCACCCGTGGGCTATAAAAAAAAGGGAAAATGCCAAACTAAAACATTGTGAAATGACAAGAAGAACGCGATTCTGACGATTGACCTTCTAGAAATCACAAATATCACTTGAATGCTTACACACTTTGATCACCAACCTTCACTAACAAGAGTTCATGGTAAATAATGGTTATAAGACTGAGTAGAATCCAATTTGGTCCGCAGTCATAGAGTAATCGATTAACAAAATCGGACGACTGCTCGGTAAAATTGTTTAATCTAGATAATGATAACCGACCACATGGGTGATTTGACGACATGAAGTTCTGTTACCAGTTAAAAAATAATTTGAACTAAAACAAAATTTGTGATAATTAAAGCTTTTTTAAAATTAAAACACAAGATCTTCTGAGAGATTTTTTCCAGTACCAGCGTGTGATGGTGCATACTGTCCAATTTCCTGGGCGTGGCGCTTACTGTCCAATTACTCTGTAATTCCTGGAATTAGGGCTGCTGATAGCTAATCAGATTAGAGAATTTTGTTATAGTCATGATTTTCCATTTATTGCTTCATATTTTCATGCATTACCAGGCATTTACCTGGTCATTTCAATGAGGCAAAATTGTGAAAAAGGCAACCTTTGGAATATTTCAAAAATTGTCGTTTCTTGTAATGACAGATGGTGGTCATATTTTAACAAGAAAATGACTAGACTCTTGTTTGGACTTAGGAAAAAATTTCTTTGGTCTTAATAAGGAGTAGAGCTAGGCTCAGTCTCCAGCCTTGGGTGTCTCGATGTATCGGTGGTGCTCCCCATACCCGTTAAAATTGACCAATCAGAAACCAGCACGCAAAATTCTTCAGGCTGGCTTCTGATTGGTCTATTTTAGCAATAGCTAATCCCATGCGCCTAGCCGTCGGGTAGGGAGTACGACAGGTGCATCAAGAAAGCCAAGGCTAATAAGGAGGTGATCATGTGAGTGTTGTGGTCGTATGGTTGCATTCCACTGTAATGATGAAGGGCTTTTTTTAAATATGTATGCCCCTATTCCATTCTTGTAACCATTATGTTTGATTAAGCAGTGTATTATTTAAGGAGAAATTAGATGTTGGTCATTTCTAGAGCTTTAAGGTTGGTTGGTGATAGATTTCTTTTGATTTATGAAACAAGATAAAAATAGTCCTATTGTATGTACTGTATGCTTTCATCCTCATTCACAAATTATCTCTCTTCAACCGTGGCATCATCAAAGATGATGTGCTCAAAGAGAGAGAGAAGGATTCTGATCTGAGGAGCAAGATATTCCAGTCAGGTTTGACAACAGAGAACCCGTTAGTTTTGTTGTCTGTACACAATCTTTTTCCTGAAGGGCTAGAAAAGTGGCCTTCTTGCAGGACTCTGTTCCCTTATCTGCGAACACAAGGTCAATCCATCAACTCTTAGCTTGATCCATTTGGCATGGAAACATTCTCTGAATAAAAGACGCATAACAGAAGACAAAGATATTCCTCTATTTTTAATAGATCCCAGTGGGTATCATTATTCATATACAATGACAAAAGTCCGTATTCAACTTAACTACTGTTAAAAGTACTAGTTCACCAAGAAGGTGTTATAAATTCCTAATCGTACATAATGTTTCCATTTTTTTCCCTACTCCACAGGCATGTAAGCATCTTGTCCAAAAATAGACCTTCAATAAAAAGATCTTAAGAGCATTTAAAATTAACAATAACAAAACTGGGAAAGGTGTTTTTTGTTTTTTCTTTCAGAATTTAAACTGAACAAGGCTTTTAGTAAATTATGATTTCAAGTCCCCACTTAAATGCTCCACCTTAACTCTCCATTTTTTCCACCAAAATGCTCGTTCTTCCCCAAATCACAAAAATGCTCGATAATGCACATCCTACAGACCCTTTTTTATCATAAAGACTCAGGCAACACAACGTCAGTGGTCTCATAGCTCAGTTGGTAGAGCATTGCACCGGTAATCGCGAGGTCACTGGTTCAAACCCCGTTGAAGTCTTGAATTTTTTTCAGGCTTCTTTACGCAGTTGCATAAATTGCGTTCACTGCGACGATCATTTCTTCATTTTCATTTTTTCACAGGTAAATAACAACTGATTATTTTATTAGCAAATACAACATTCGGGTTCCATGTGCTAAAAACAAATAGGTTGTATAACAACAATGTATATAGGTTACTGGTTTTATTACAGCAAAAGATAATCCTCTAAACGGCTGAATTGTTTTCATTTTCATTTTCCCCAAACAAAAAAGTAATTTTTTGGGAAAACTTCACGATAAAATGCCCAAATAATACATAATGCTTTTGCCTCAATAAAATGCTGACAAAGGTAATGGTTAAATGTACAAAACCCGTATAACCAACTTCTTTTTTAACCTTTCTTCTTCCTCCTTTCAAGTTGTTACTTTTTGTTTTAAGCTGTTACTGTTTTAGGGTGGCTCGCAACAGTTTCCAGAATTTTTAACCATTTAGTTGTTATGGCCACTTTTTCATTTTGGTTTTAGATCACTCTTATGAATGAGATATCATTTAAACAATTTCAACCGAGAACGTCGAACTTTTCCTTGAAATGAACACGTCAACATTTAGAATTGATAGACTTGAATATCAATACAGTTTGGCAAAAATTCTGACGTCCTTTCGTAACGAAACCTAAGTTGGATGTTTTCAAGGTCAGTCCCTTATTTCAAGAAAAGAACCTTTCTGGCACTGTAGTCACAAACTAAAATACGACCATCAGGCATTGTAGCCATACCCCATGGCCATGTTAGCTTAGTAACAGTTTTTCCAGTAAAGCGACCCTCTATAGTGAATTGTTGTACGCGACCACTTTCTTTGTCACTGACTAAAATATTTCCATGTTGGCCTACACACACTCCATACGGCGATAAAAACTGTCCGTCTTCATTGCCTTTTTTCCCAATCTTACGCAAAAAGTTCCCTGAAGAATTAAATACTTTCAAACAGCTGTTCCCACTATCAGCAACAATAAACATGTGTTTGTAACAGACGCAGCCCACCGGACGGTACAGTTTTTCCGGGCCGCGATCTCCAAATATCAACAAGGTTGCACCATCCCTTGTTAAAACCTGAACGCGGTGGTTGATATGTTCAGATACAATTATGCGTCCTTCATCATCCATGCAAACACTGGTTGGATTCTCAAAATTCCCATCTCCAGTCCCTCGCCGTCCAAAGCTGTTTACAAAGTTCTGCGCCGAGTGCACGTTGAACTGCTGTACTCGGTGATTGAATTCCTCCGCCACGAGAATCCCGTCATCGTTGATGAATGTCACGCCACATGGACGGCTCAGCTGCCCAGGATTATCTCCCCTGCAGCCCAGTTGTCGCACAATCTTTCCTTCTTCATCACATATTAGAATACAATTCTTATCACAATCTGCTATAGCGATTAATCCTTTGCCATTCACTGCAATACCAGCTGGCTTTTGCAGAGTTTCATTTTGCAAGTGTAACTCACCATCAACTTCCAGCTTTCGTTCCTGTACCTTAACAGTGAAGGGACTTCGAGCAACGCCTTCGCCGTTTATCTTTGCTGAGATGTGGTAGACACCCGGCAGTTTAGGAACAAATTTCACCTGGAATTTTCTGCCTCCTTCATCGTTCCCTTCGTTGATATTCAAACTTGCCAGTTGGTCAGCAGGTTCCACTTGAACCTCAACATGATCCTCATATTGTTTGTTACTGATCTGTCCTTCGATTGTCTTTGGGCAAATCGAAAACTCTGCCTCAACGCCAGCTTGGAAAGTTTGTTTTAGTCCTTCAATTGTTGATTTGTTTGGGTCTGTCTCGGTTGATTTTATTATGCCGAGACTCAAAGTATCCAGCTTACAAGTTGACACGAACTCTACAAACGAACCAGCAGGCAGATCGGGCATTTGAGTTTTGCGAAGCTCTTCAAATCGTTCCTGTAAATTCTTTCTGTTTCCTATTATGTCTGCACTCGAACTTCTCTGAACCAGTTCACTCGCAAACTCTGCTGCTTGTTTAATCTGTTTTTCTAGCTGTTGAACTTGTTTCTTTACGGCATCCAGTTTCTGCATTCGTGACACGCGTGTGTTCTCGAGCGTGGTAATCGCTTCACGCTCGCGTTCGTGAATCACAGCGATCATTTGCTCGGCTGACTGGGACACTTGGCGTTTAGCAGTTGCGATGTTATTCTGAAGATTGGCGGCTGTCTCCTCAAATTGGCGGATAATTATAATGCCTCTGCAAGTTTGGTGTTTTTGCTTCATTGACTCAACGCCCGCCAAACTTTTAGTTCTTTCTTGATCCGCTGCAGTTTCGAGCAGCTCAATTTCATGAGTCTTGTGATTCATATTAATGCATATTTGACAAATACAAGTATGGCAGACGCGACAGTAAAATCTGGTTACTTCCTTCTCGTGGTACTTCTCAGTGCAGAACGCCTTTCGCTTTAACAAGGCTTCGTAATCTTCTGCTTGAAACTGTTTGACTGGCGTCACTTTGTGTTCTGCGAATGCGGTATCTCTAAACAGCTCGTGAGCGTTTACACAATGACTGCACAGGAACTTTTCGCATTCGAAACAGTAGCTTGTTTCAACGCTCTTTTTCTTGCAAAGTCCGCAACTGATCTCACCTCTATCGTCACTTTGTTGAACAGTAAGAAGACTCAGCAAGCTGTTATGAAGAAAACTGGTCGGTAACTGATCGAATAAGTTTCCTTCGGGGATGGCAATTTGTGTCTGGCATTCGGGGCAGCGAAACTGACCATGTCTCTGACTCATAAGCGCATGTTTCCTCAGACATTCACAGCAGAAGGTGTG